TGCACTTAGTTTTCTTGTTCTTATATTCTTTCTTATCTCTAACATCAGTGCTAAAAGTAACTGTTGGTACAGAAGTGAAAATTGTCAAAACAAGACTGTGATTAATAATCTCAAAGCCAAAAGGAGATTACAGATTCAGAAAATGACAGTTGTAATATGGAAATCCAGTATTAGTTTATAGTTGATTATCAACTTTTTACAGAAAATGATACGTGATAAGAAAAACTCTTCCTAGGATGAAAATTTCTTTATAGCTTTAATGACTCTATCATTGAATTATTTCAAATTGTGATACTATTTTCTTCCTAAGAGCTTATTAATGTATCCACATTCTATTCCAGTAATGGTCCTAAGATTACAGGTAGGATACTGGGACACTAAAATAATAACAGTATTTTGTCAGAGACAACCGAACTTGTTAGATGCAGAGACAAGGCCACAAGTGGATTTCTGGTTGGGTGGATTTACCCCCCTCCTACCTTTCCCCTTAGAGTGAATTTTAATTAACCAGATAGGCTTTCTCAGGTATGGAGACTTGGAATATGCTGTTGTAATCAGACAGCATGAGCTAACATGTTTTAGAAATGTTACTTGACTTCATTTTAAAAAGAGAACATTTATGGATTTCTCACTATATCATGTATAATGCAATATGAATAAAGCCCTAATTGAGTTTCATGTTTGTGAGGAAACTGCAGATTAGTGACAGGGCAGAGAAATGACCCTATTATCTCTGTAATGGTAATAGTGTGCTTCACAGGGGAACTTGTGTTGTTAAGAGTGAGTTGTTATTTTCTTGCAGATACTTTCTGCATAAGCTATTAATATATTGAATCAGAAGGAATTGGAAAGTGCTGTCTAGGGACTTAGGAATATAATTTATAAGTTTCAGTGTTCACCTTTACTTGAAATATCATGTGCATCTGTTTTTGTAGATGTATACACAAGCATAAACATGGTTTCACGCATCAATTTCTTTGTACATATCTTTTCTTTCTATGTGGAATGTCCTTTATTTTTCTTGTGTCAAGTACCTCTATCTCTAAGACCTGCAGCAGTTGTGTCCTCTGTGATGAAACCTTTTATCCCTGTAACCAACTTGTTGTTTACCTTTGTATTCCCAGAGCAGTTGGTTCCCATTGCTATACTATGTTTTCATTTGTTGTCCGATAAATCTCTTTCCATCTTCTTAACTCACAGTTGAGTGTATGCTTCTCAATGGCAATTCAGTTTTCAATTCATATTCCAGCATCTTGCATGATGCCTGCATATATTGAGTATGCAGCAACTACTAAATGAAAAATGTATATTAAATATAGTATATATGTATTATTTACATACCTTGCCTCATCCAAAAATGTGTTTAAGATGGACTATAAGCAATATAGCAAATTAGAAGAAAACTGGAAGAGAAAAGGAGGAGGATGGGAAATAGAATGGGGCCAAGGATGAACTAATTCACATGATGAATCTCTAAGTGAATGTATAGTGTGAATGAGTGCGTTTGCATGTACAAGGAAGCGCATATGTGGAAACTTACAATATACGTTAAAAAAAAATCTATCCTGTTTGATAACTGCATTTTTACAATTTTGGCCTTGAAAAGATTTCTTTTTTTTCTAAGTTGTTCATTTTGTCACTATGTATCTGGTGCTAAATGGTTTCTCTGAGGAATGCTTTATTATTCTTAAGATTCTAATGTGATGAGCATGTGGTGAAATGGAGTGGTGTGAGTTAGTCCCACTTCTTTGAACACAGGAATCTGTAATATGACTGTTTATAGTACTCTTTTGCTTCTGAAGATTTTGTGTTCTAACTTTTGTCACCTGCTCTCTTTTAGAAAGCACATAGCTGTGGGGTAGGAATGTAAGAAAGCTAACTGAAAATAACAACCTTTTCCTGGAATAAATATGTTTTAAATTAAATTTAACTAAGAAGTACCTGTGAATTCTAGCTTGCTCTCCAGGTTACTTATTTGCCAAATTTAAATAAATTGACATATTAAAATTGATTCTTATTCTCCTGTTCTCAGAAGTTTTTTTTTTTTTTTTTTTTTTTTTTTTTGGTTGTTCTTAATATAATGCTCTTCTTGAGTCTTATTCTCAGTATGGTATTTTTAAAATAAAGAATAAAACTTTGTTTGCTTTGTTGTTCCTTAGCTAATTGTTAAAATAATGAGGCCTTATTATTTTGTGTAATTTATTTAAGACAATAGAGCAATTAGTTGCTCACTGGCAACCTGACAAAGGAAGTGGGGCAAGATGCCAACCCATTTCTTTTGGCCTAGCAGCCCTTAGAGTCATGTGTTCCAAGGATTTGCTAATCACCAGCTGGCAACTGATTTACAAGGCAGGAAAGACAGGACTCTTGAATGGTGACCACTTACAAATAAGATGGAATGTATACTGGCTTTAAGCCTTATCTATTGGCATTCAGATCTTGCTGCCGGGGGAAAGACTTGATGATGGCAAAGAGCCCATGTGCTATCTTTGGTGTGTTTGTTCGATGTCATCAGTATTGTTCTTGACCCTCACTTTGGTTTAGCAATTAAGACTTGCTAAGTAGAATATACTACTCCAGTGGTATATTGGTATATGTCTGTCTCCCTGTCTGTTTATTTGTCCACCTGCCTGTCCATTCATCTATCCATTTGTCTGTCTATCTGTCCATCCATCCATCCATCCATCCATCCATCCATCCATCCATCCATCTATCCAGTGAATACTGGGTTTAAGCCATTAATGAATGGGCTGAGAATTAACGTCTGAAAGCATTGTTTACAGTTGGGGCTGGCGGTCTTTTGCTGTAAGGGAACAGTTAGTAAATATTTTAGGTTTGCAGACCATGTTGTCTCTGTTGGAACTAGTCAGCTCTGCTGTTGTAGGATGGAAACAGCTGCAGACACCGTGTAAATCAATGGCATGGTTATGAACAAATAAAATACTGTTTACAAAAAAATCAACTTGCTGCTATAGTTAGCCTACCCCTCATTTAGACAGTAGAAGTATCTGACTCAATATAGTTTGGGAGCTATACAAAAACTTTCAAAAAGTGCTTTAATGCCTATAAGTTTTCTAATACTGTTTTATGTTCTAGGTTTTTAACTTAATTATTGTCTGTTTTGGGATTTACCTCAAAAAGTAATTTTATAGATTTTACTATTTTCCTTTTTTATTTAAACATAGTAATCATTTAGAGGATATTCAGCTCTGACACTGGTTATAGAAATGTCACTGGATTGGAAATATACCAAAAAAAAACCAAGGAATAAATTCACTACTGTATCACCCATAAAGCATCATTACATTTAATGGTTTTTACTTATAAACATGATTTTAAAAACTACTTTGACGTGGAAACATGGTCAAGATATATTGATGAGGTAAAAAATTCAGATTGTAGAAGATTTCTGAACAGTATATACGATGTGATTCTATTTGTGAAAAGAAAGAAAAAATGTTGATGGAGAAAATGAACAAAAGGAAACAAAAGTTTTTTGCAGTATTTCCACTGATAGTATTTTCACATACAAACTCAAGAAGGGCTAGGCCTGGTAGCTCATGCCTGTAATCCCAGCATTTTGGGAGGCTGAGGATGGCAGATCACGTGAGGTCAGGAGTTCGAGATCAGCCTGAGCAACATGGTGAAACCCCATCTTTACGAAAAATACAAAAATTAGCTGAGTTTGGTGGCACATACCTATAATTCCAGCTACTTGGAAGGTTGAGGCAAGAGAATCACCTGAACCCAGGGGGCAGAGATTGCAGTGAGCTTAGATCGTGCCACTGAACTCCAGCCTGGGCAACAGAGTGAGACTCTGTCTCAAAATAATAATAATAATAATAATAATAATAGCCAGGCATGGTGACTCACACCTGTAATCCTAGCACTTTGGGAGGCCGAGGCAGGCAAGTGGATCATCTGAGGTCAGGAGTTCAAGACCAGCCTGGCCAACACGATGAAACCCCATCTCTACTAAAAATACAAAAATTAGCCTGGTGGTAGTGGTATGTGCCTGTAATCCCACCTACTTGGGAGACTGAGGCAGGAGAATCATTTGAGCCTGGGAGGCGGAGGTTGCAGATTGTACCACTGTACTCCAGTCTGGGCTCACAGAGTAAGACCGTGTCTCAAAACAAACAAACAAACAAACAAAACTCAAGAGGGCTTTTCAGCATAACTGGGTTATCAACTTCCTACTCAATTTTATTTTGAAATTCAGTTTATAATTTTCTCCTAGATTCAGTCATCTCTATATTGCATGTACTTGGTTAGGCAGAGAAGTCATAAAATGGTTTTCTCTCAGATACCAGTGGCTTCCTTTGGCTTGCTAGAGCTGAATAATTTTTTCTTTTTGAGGTCTACAGTATTCAGTTTTGAAAATTAAGGTGTTGTCAGTGGCTATGATTGATGAAGTGTTCATAGATGTAAGATGAAAAAATACAATGTACTTTAAAAATTGTCCCTACTATTTTGTCCCCTATTTTTCAACCCCCCATAAATTTGCTACTTTTTAGAAAATTGATCTGAGAACTTAATTTAATAAAGTTTTATCACCTGAATTAACAATTTTTAAGAAAAATTTTAGAGTTACAGAAAAAATATAAACATAGTACAAAGTTGTTAGATACCACGCACACATAGTTTGTCCTATTAACATCTTACATTAGTAGGATATAATTATTATAGTTAATAAACCAATATCAATATGTTCTTAATTGACTAAGTTCATTCTTTATTAAGATTTCTTTTGTTTCTAAAGTTTATTTCTTTTGTTCCAAGATAGCTGATATATTTTATACATTTATATTGCATTTATTCATCTGTGTGGTAATGTCATAGAGCCATATCATAAATGCTATTTCTATTTTAAGTAATATAGAATTTAGATAAACAATAAATAAAGCTTTGCTACAACGAGGTTCTTAAATTCTTTTATGCACAAATGTTACCTCAGAAAAAAATAACATTGTTTATTTTTTTTCCTGTTCTGTATTTAGTGGAACAGGTTCCTGTAGAACCGTACAACATCCCACTGTCCCAGGCTGAAGTCATACAAGAAGGGAGTGATGTTACGCTAGTAGCCTGGGGCACTCAGGTGAGTAACATTGATTCCAACTGTTAAAACCTATGTTGTGCTTGTAAACTCTCATTTTAAATTCTGATACATGAAAAATGGAAAGCAATGTTTTCTGTATATCTCAGATTAAGTCTGGTGCTACTGATGCTCATTTCTTTTTTCCCCAACTTTATTGAGGTGTAATTGGTGAAAATTATATATATTCAAGGTATATATGTGATGATTTGATATATGTATACCTTGTGAAATGATTACCATAATCAAATTAATTAATGCATCCATCAGCACACATATTTAGTATTGTGTGTGTGTGTGTGTGTGGTTGGGGGTGTAGTTAGAACACTTCAGATCTATTATTTGCTGTAGTCACTGTGCTTTGTATTAGATCCTGAGAACTTCCTCATCTTATAACTGAAGGTCTGTGGTACTGATTTCTGAGTGAAGGTGAGGTGTATTTATATTAAAATGTGTAAACATGTGGTGGTCATAAATATATTGCAACAGTGTATTAAGTAAAAACACAGTTCTTTTGAAATGCATTTATACCCAGGTTACTTTTGCTGCAAATGACTTATAATCTTTTTTATCACATTTCCTGCTATCTCTCATGGTTACTTTGTTGGCCATGTGGACCCATCCGCTGCTCCAGGCTCAGAATTCCGTATCTTTCTTTTTTCCAGTGACCCTCTCCACTGATCCAGTTCATTTCCCCCCAGGCTTGTTGTCACATTGCTCTACCTCCCAACTTTCTCTCTGGCCATGAACTCCTATTTCTTCCACTTCTCTCTCTCCTTCTTTTAAAGATATGGTCAATTTTTCTTTTTCTGTATAAAGAAAATCTTTGTTTTAGGAACTTTAGGGCAACACAATATGAAGAAGATAATAAAAATAGATTTCAGTATCACAAGCTCCTGCTCTCCTCTCCTTTTGATTTTTGATGTGGAGAGCTATGGTTCTCATGGTTTCTCTCCATCAGTGAGGTAACTGTGCTCCTTGGTGAGTTGTATTCCATTGACAGTGCGCTTGGTGCATGTGGCAAACCTTTTTGCTGTCTTTCAGTCCACTTTTTAATCCACATCTCTGTTACTCTCAGCTCATGACCTTTCTTCTCTTTTCAGTAGGGAAGTTAGGGTGTATTAGGTATTAACTCACATGGCTTGCTCTTCCTTTTGCTTTTAATTCTTTTCTTCTTCCCTTTGTCTTTGAAGAAGAGGTGTCTGGTTTTCATAACGACCTCTGCAAAATCTGTTTCAGACTGCATTTCATTTTATCTTCTCTAGGACTGTGATCTATTAGCTAGTCTCTCTCTCACTTGCATCTTCAGTTTTCCATTTCTTGTTGTTCTTATTTAAAAAATACATCTCTCTTCACTATTTAAAGAATTCCTCTCACTGTAAATACCATTACATCTCCTTCCTTTTAACACTGAACTTGAACAACTGTTTTCTATTGTCTATATTTAATTTCTTAACTTCATTATATTCTTGTACCTGTGAGTTCTGTTCCCATTAATTTACTGTTTTTGTTAACATTACTAATTTAGTTGTTTAAATTCAGCTCTTATTCCTGCTATGGTATGTGATACTGGCTGCTATCCCTGTAAAATCTTTTCAGCTTCTGGAATACACTGTCTCCTGGTTTTCTTTCTAGCTCTTTAATTGTTCTTTTTATCCCCCTTTTTTTTTTCTTTCTCTCCCTCTCTCCCTCCCTCCCTCCCTCCCTCTTCTTTTTCCTTCCTCTCGTCTTGCTCCATTTTTTCTTTAAATGCTGGCAATTTTTGCTCTTTTCCCTCTATATGCTTTCTACCTACCGGTGTGACTGTTTACCTTCTGTGTGCCATCTTTGTAATCAATATCTGTGGTACTTCTTCTCTCTTTTTCTCTAATCACCTCTTTTCATCTGTTTTCTAGATGTCTATACTTATTATTTTGGCAGAATATGAGATTCAACATATTTAAAACAAATTTATGAATTCTCCATGCAGATCAATTCCTGAGATTTTAAATACTATCTCCAATAGTGATGTCAGAATTCAACTAATTTTTCAGGCTGGAACCTTTGTAGTCATTCGCTGCAAAATTTTCTCTTTATTTCAGGTTCATGTAATTCGAGAGGTAGCTTCCATGGCAAAAGAAAAGCTTGGAGTGTCTTGTGAAATTATTGATCTGAGGACTATAATACCTTGGGATGTGGACACAGTTTGTAAGGTATGAATGTATGGTGATAGAATGTCATTTTTCTAAAACCTTTGGCCAAATATTTTGTATATTTGCAAATAATTCTTTTGAAATTGTCAGCTATATGAGCATTTTTAAGTGAACTAAAACTTTTGAATTTGCAGCGTGAAAGTTATATAAATAGCTTCATGCTCAAGGAAACAAATCACTGTAGAATTTTCTATTTTCCTCCAGTAGTTTTCTCTGTTTAAAATATTATAAGACTGAGTCTGTGCAGTCACCTTGGGTTGAGTTGTGTGAGTCATGGAGCTTATCAAGGATACCAATGGCACTTGTGTTTTTGCCTTCTTATTGGTTATGGTTCAGTAATCTAAGTTTAATTTAGGTAAATGAAATGGTTTGGCTGAATTTTCACTTATCTCCAAAAGTAATGGGGATGGATTTTTTTTTAAAAAGACTCTGTATATCGTCTTAATACTGTGGATTACAGTTTAAGAGTTATGTGGCGATTCTGGCTGTTCTAATTTAAAGTTTCTGTCTAAATAGTCTCATGATCTTTGGCCTGATTACATTGATCTTGTTGTTGCTATTAAGATTTACAAAGCCAATTCCTCTTAAGAATATAGTTTAGTTCTTATTTACCTGCTTATATTCAATATCTTTCATATCAATTTCAAGATAATTTAAGAAGTATCTATTTTCATATTGATACAAAGAAGGTTAAGCACTCTTTTTGTAATAGTCTGATCAATTAAGACTAAATGTAATTGTAAATTATATGTACCTAGTCTTAATAGATTAGTACAGTAGATACATGTCCAACTGATACATGTACAATTACATATATAATTGTAAAAAAAGATACATGTCATTGTCTAGGTAACAGTGACATGTATTATTTTTTCTTAATTTAGTGCTATAGTCCTAAGACCTAGGCTATTTTATATTTACTGCTTTTAAGAGCTTTGGCATTCTCATAGCTTTTACAGGCTATTTCTTGGATGAGTTAATGAAAATAATCTGCAGATACTGCTATAAAACAGGCTATTTCTTGGGTTAATTATATGAAAATAATCTTCAGATACTACTGCTATAAAAGTATAGCCTGGGATTTTTTTAGGTGAAGAGTGTTTTAAAATTTAGTAGAAGATACAAGATTTCTTATAGTAAATGTTTCTGAAGACTCACTTGATACCATCTAAACACTTCACCTGCTTACAAGTGGTTTCAACAATATCCTGATCCCTTCTATTTGTAGTTGCTGTAATTAAGAGCACTATTTCAGATTGAGTTATTCATAGTGACATGAAAATAATGTAATGCTTATTGTAGGCATTTTCAGATCAAGTCAGACACCGGATTTTCTTTCAAATAGTCGAATGTTCCAAATTATAGTTAAACCAGAGTTGGCTGCTTCTTTACATCATGTATTCACTATTTATCCTGGGGTTTGCATTTTTAGTGTAGATGGTGCTTCTGTATGGGGATATGATGTTTTGTTATGGCACAGTGCGGGTGTGTTCATATATAGTCAGGGCAAGCACTTTTAGGACTTTATTTACATATATATGTGTGTGTGTGTTTGTATATATACTTTAAACATTCAGAAAAGATTTGTAGCAGCTTAAGGTAAAGCACAAGTGTACTAATACTCCATGTTGGTAACCGTGGAAGCAGAAGAGAGGAGAAGTAGGGGAAGAAAGAAGGGAGAAATGGTTTATATTTACATCGATGTCAGTTTGCTTTTGCATCACTGTATTGAAGCTACTGGTTACATATTTGTCTGATCCTAGAATACAGATACATTTTCCTTAGGGTTCTATCCTACTGGGAAAGATGAAAGAGGAGACAGGCTATCTCTACTGAATGCGAAAGTGATGCATCAGACCTCTGACTTACTAGCGTCATTATTTTATTTTGTTTTGGGATGCTTTCATCATGTTATTTTTCCAGTTGATGACCCTCCAGTTGTGACAGTGAAAGCCAGCTTCTTGACTGCTTTGGGTCTAGTTGAGACTCTTCATTGCCGATGATATTACCTCTCCTGTTTTCTTTTGATGTATCAAAAGAGGGAAAATTTTGATATTTAGCTTTTTTGTCTTAGGATTTAGAGATGACCAAATATTTATATTGAAAATGAGGATTCTTTTAACCCCCAGAGTGAAGCTTTTAAAATTCATCTTGATAAATTCTATAGTAACCAAAATTTATGTTATAATCTCTTTTAATTAGTTGTGTTTTATCAGTTGTTTTGTCTTATGACTCATTTTTTCCTCTGTTTTATTCATTACGTGTCAACTAAATCCCAGTATGTATCTTTTGGAGTGCCTAATTGAGAAAAGAAAGCATATTAAAGGCAAAAATGATGGTTGAACACATACATTAACACACTGCACAGTAAAATGACTCTTGGACCCTTGAGGAATTCATACTTCTTGCTTAATCCTTGATGGATGGTTTGGAAGTTATAAACCAAAATAAATAGTTTCTCGGGAATGGAGAAAGCAGCAGAGTTTTTGAATGTTGCTCAAGGGAGTCACAAAATTAGAGACTTAAATGGGCCTAGAAACCACAGCTACTTTTTCCACTCAATTCTGAACCTGATAGTAAAAAGCTGAGCTGGAGACTTCTGAAAAGCACAGTAGAAAATTCTTGAGTTTGAGGTGCCTAAGAGACAGAGACCTACCCTGTCCCATGGGTGTGTGATATGTGTGTGTGTGTGTGTGTGTGTGTGTGTGTGTGTGTGTGTGTGTAAGTGGAGTGGCTTAAGAGAATCAGCTATGAGAGTTAAAAGCCCTGAAATAAGTGATTGACACTGATGACCTATTGCTGCTTTTTAGTTGGTGACACTTGCTATTTGGTCTCAACCAGGTGTATAGAATCCAGGTGTATAGAACCCATGGTTTGTGGGGCTGTAGTGACAGAACTGAAATTTGAGGGGATTTAAACACATACTTGACCTTTCCGTCAAGATATTTACCAAATTCTAAAGCTGTGAATGGTGAAAAGTAAGCAGAAAATATCTGGATAGTGAAGCTGTCACTTGATAATGCAGCAACAAAGACCAATCATATTCTCAATTGAAAGCCATGGAGAGTTAGGTCTTATAATTAGTGTCAAACCACATGTAGACCAGGTCATCTCAAACTCACAACACAGCCTCTATGCCTCTGAGTTTCTTATTGAATTAATGTACCTTTACTCTGTCTGCCCAGCAGAGCAAGGAGTCAATCCTCTCATTATCTGGAACCAGCATTCAATAAAAAAATTACTAAGTAGATGAAGAGACAGGAGTATTTGATCAATAGCAAAGAGGAAACAAACAAAAAAAGAAACAGCTGATCCAGCTATTGGAGTTAGTAGACAAGGACATCTTGATTGTTATGCTTAGGAACATAGAGAAAAGAAGGAACAAAAGAGGTAAGAGGATGGAGAATTACCCTAGAGAATTGGGTGTGTGTGTATGGACATGTATGTATATGGATCAACTAAACTCTGTGGAGCCATCAAAAATATATATATCTGACAATAAGAACTCAATAGATGGGCACATGACATATTAGACTCAGTGGATGATAGCAATAATGAACTGGAAGAGTAGCTAGTAGAATATGTTCAAATTGAAGCACAAGTCAGAAAAGAGGATAAAGCACATTTAGGATCTGTGATTTAATTCCAGAAAAAGAAGAGAGAGAAAATCGATCAGCAACAATATCTAAAAGAATTTCTCGGGAAAGTTTCAGAACATCATTACACAAGCTTTGTTAACCTTTAAGAAGACTGTATTAAAAGAAAACCACACCTACATATACAGTGGCATGACGTCTTAAATTTCTGACTATGCTAGCCTAGAATTCTATACCTAGTGAAAATAACTTTTTAAAATTAAGATGAAATAAAAATAGTTAAGGCAAACAAATCGAGAGAATTTATTGCTAGCAGGTCTCAGTAAAACAAAGTACTGCAAGGGAGATCCCTTCGGCAGAAGGAAATGATCCTAAAAAAAAATACGGAGGAGGCCATAACCTGTAGCCCAATATTGATTGTCTAAAAAAAGTTGTGATAATGTTCTGTGAAGTTTAAGTTAGATATATGGAATTGAAATGTAAGACAATAAACACAAAAGCCAGGGGTTTTACATAGAGTTAAAATATTCTGTTTTTCTAGGATTATTATGAAGTGTAATGTTCTAATTAGGTTATAATCAATGATACAAATTATAATTGCTAATGTAACAACTGAAATAACAATGAAAGAATGTATATCTAGCAAGTTAATAAGAGAACTATAAATTAATAAAAATATTTAGTTAATCCAAAGGAAAGAAAAGTAATAAGTATAAAAAAGTGGATGGGTCAATAGATAACAGATAACAAGATGATATAAACCCAAATATAGAAGTAATTAAATACAGAAAGATGAAATAAACTTAGTAAAAGTCTAAGATCCTCAGACTTCATTAGAAAAAGCTACTGCCACCACACGTAGCTTAAAAAGGTATACTTTAAATATAAGGACATCAAAATGTTGAAATAAAGGGATGGAAAAAGAAAGCTGGTATAGATATACTAATTTCAAAGAAAGCATTAAGGCAAAAAGGATTACTTGAATGAAGAGGAGCATTTTATAATGCCAAAGGGACCAGTCCACCATGAAGATATCTCATAATCCTATTTTGTCCTCAATAACATAGTTTTAAAATAAAAAAGCAATAAACTAAACAAATAAAACACAGAACTCAGAAGAGGTATGAACACATTCACAGTTATAGCAGGAGACTTTAAGACATTAGCCTTAAATCTTGCTTAATCAAGCAGACAAAATATTGTTATGTGTATAGAAGATCTGAACAAATCAATTTGTAAACTTATCCTAATTGTGTACCCAGCTATTCCAGAAATCATTCTTTTTAATAGAATATGTAGCATTTGTCAAAATTGGCCAAATGCTGGGCAATAAATACAACCTTAAAAAATTCCATAAGCTTAGAATCATTTAGAGTATGTTCTATAACAATAGTGGAATTTGGT